CAGCCTTATCAAAGACGCCGATGCGAAGTGAGCCATCCGGCCGAACCAGGATTCTTGCCCCAAGGAAAACACACGACCCATCTTGCTCAGTAGTGTCCTTCCACTCAAGACCATATCGAGCAGGAGGGGGCGGTAATGTCTTCCAAGATAAGATGTCATCAATGAATCGGTACGTAAATGCATGTGCTTGCGCAGCGCGTAGATCCTGCTGCCGTAATTCATCGATGAATTGTGCTTCGTCCCAATAAAGCGTAAGGTTGGCAATTTCCGGTCCAGCGTTAGTGCCCATAGGGATGCCTACCACCTGATGACGCAGAGTGCCATCCCTTGTGTAGAGATAAGTGTTGGACACCACAAACCGCAGATGCAGTTCTATCTCTAACATGGAAAGGGTGTCTGATCCATGTGAAGTAACCCACTCCCCGCGATGCGGACCTCCTATAGTCATGTACATTTGTACTGGCCTTCTTCCCTGCGGGATACGCAACAAGGCGTAATCATGTGCTTCACGAACCGCATTTAGGACATTGTTAAGAATCCTATCATGTGGCAGGTTAGTGTACATGGTTGTGAAATCTGCCGTATGGGGCGTACAGCCTCGAAGGGATGGTGCATTTTGCTTGAGATCTAAGATGACTTCCTCAGCACTCTGTACGATCCAACAGCGTCGTAAACCTACTTCTTGATAAAGCTCATTGTCCTTACTGCGCAGAGACTCGATCACGCCTTGGAGAGCATAGCTAAGTGAGCAGGAGGCCATTGTTGTACTGGCTAGAGGCTTATGAGGGGGTCTGTTACGCAAACTGGAGACCGAAGACTGGCGAGGTTTTGTGCGAAGTGAAGACTGAGAAAGGTTGTTTTGTTGAGTAACACCGAGAATTGGGCGAAGACCAGGCGGGGATTTATGTGCTTTAAGTGCAAAGTAGAGATAGGGCAGGGTGTCAGTATGTCGATAGCCCCAATGCTGATTGAAAAGCGCATGGTGGTCAAGGATGCCGGCCACAGATTCCGATGTCGAATCGTAGGTAGGACTATCAAGGTGTTGTGATAACTTATACCCGTACCAGCGCTTGCAGCAGATTGCCATGTTGTGCGATGTTTTATCAACAGGCACTATAGCAAATTGCTGTTGTAGCTGCCGTAGAGATGTATTAGCAGCACGCGAGGCAGCTTGAGTGGGTGCTTGGTACTGTGACGTAGATAGGTTCCGTTGGCATCTTGAAAGAATTGCTGTGTGTGTGTGTGTGTCTGTGTGTGTGTGTGTCTGCGTGTGTGTGTGTGTGTGTGTGTGTGTGTGTGTGTGTTGAAATAAACAGAACCCCGCAAACGTGGCAAGCAGCGTAACAGGGCATGCATACACGATTGCCTAAGAAGAAAGACCTCAAGATTTTAGGAAAAGAATAATCCATACCACAGGAGAAATCACAGCACCCATAATTGGGGTGAAACCACAGACAGGAAGTCAAAAAGGAGCAAGGCAACAAGACAACAAAGTAGACAACAAACCAAGTAACAGAAAAACACAAAGCAAAAAAAAAAAAAAAAAAAAAATTGATGATAGATTGTTTCGTCGGACTTGCACCGACTCATCAGGAGGCTGAACCCTCGACAATCTGCGGAATCCCCGTATTTGATGGTTTGGGTCATGAACCCATTGACCCTTGTTGAAGGAAGACTGTCCCCAAGAGGAACATAGCAGCGGGCAGCAACCCTGTGAAGCACCAGGCAACACAGTAGAGGCAACACGGCTGCACAACGCCAAAAACGACTGCAAAGAACGACATGGCACGCAGCGCGGCAGCCGTGTAGTGAAACACAAGGCAACACAAGCAAAGCAACAACACTGCAGGGGACGACGAGCGAGTGAACCAGCAGCTGGGCGACCATGAAGCGGAGCACAAGGCACCAGCAACAAGGCAACCAACCAACATGGCACACAAGCACAGAAGGCACGACCAACGGATGAGCAGCACGGCAGCGGAGCAGCGAAGCACAAGGCAACACCAACAACACGGCCACACCGCACAGCGAACACATCAACCCGCAAAGAACCACACGCGAAGCAAGCGGGACAGGCCGCAGGGCAGCGGCGGAGCGCAGACGAGGACGTCCACACATCCAACACGGAGCAAAGCAGCACATGACCTACTCACCTCACGATAGAACCCCGCAGACTGTTGGTTCCCACCACCCGCTGAGCCAGGGGGACACTCCGACGACCATCCGTCATCACCGACAGGCAACACAGACATCCCGAACTGAGAGGCCCCCTAAGAGTGCAGTTGGCACTCCAAACCAGGAACCACCGACTGTTTGGCACTACTTAAGGGTGCTCAATTGGGCACGCGAAAAGACGTAGAAAAAATCAAGGGGAGGACATACAACAGAAAGAGGACTAACAACATAAAACTGATTGTGTGTGTGTGTGTGTGTGTGTGTGTGTGTGTGTGTGTGTGTGTGTGTG